CATCCTCATCTCTGGAGACTGCTGGTAGCACACCAGAGGATGTAGCCTTTATCTATTAAAGGTGCTAGCTTTTAATTTTTTTTCTTTTCCCGTTTTCATTCTTTACCAAACTGAGCCCCTGAAGGGCAGGGCCAGCCACCTCTTAGACTATGCCCCGGGCCCAGCAGACTCTGCAGCTGGCAGCCACTCCACGAACGCTCACTAGACACATTCACCTCCACACCTCTGTGTACAACTTTATTTCCAGTCTCATTTTTGAAGGGGCAGAATAGAGACGTAAGGTAATTTGGGTTTTAGGACAGAAAAGATTTAAAAGCTGAGGGTATGCCCCTCTGACCTGACCCGATCACATCCTGCCTCTTCACTGAGCAGTCTTCTGTGTCCTGGGTACTCTGGGGCCAAAGAGCACTGTGTGGCCGGGGAGTCCCTCATAGAACATCTGAGTCCTGAGCTGATCTGGAAGAGGGAGCAGGGAGTCCTGTCTGTGGAGTCTAGTCCTGGGAGAGGCTCATGAAGGAGGTAGGACCGTGCTGGCTATGGAGCATCTGTAGGGTTCAGATAAGTGAAAGAGAGGTAGCAATGGGTTGGGCAGAGCCTGAGGGCGCCTGGAAGATGGGCCCAGTGGATGGCCATGCGGTTGTAGCAAACCAGAAGCAGATGTGAGCGTTTTGTGGGGGCGGGATTTGCCTGCAGAGAAATGAAAGATTTTTCCAAGATAAAGGTAGTGGAGGGGGCCCAGTCTGAGCTTTCTGAACATGGTCAAAGCCAGCAAGCAGGTCCCAAGTGAAGATTGCAGGACTCAAGGTTTTGACATGGCGACTGTAAGGAAGCTGGTTCCACTGGAGCTAGTTGGAAAAGGAGTTGTGGTTATTTTTCTAAGGAACACCAATTAAAGATGTCAGTTTTGAGGTAGAGAAACCTGGGTTTTAATCTTTTATCTTTCCCTTACCAGCTAGGGTAGTCTTGGGTAAGTTACTTAAGCACTTGGGGCTTCCGTCTTATCACATATAAGATGGGAATGATAGTGAGTGCTCAGTGCTTGATACAGAAGGTTCTTGAGTCTGGAAGGAGTGAGAGATACTGATGGGAGTGGTGGTGGCACCAGGATTGAGTGATGGGAGCTGTGGATGGGCACAGGCTGACGTGCAGATGAAAGGTGAAGTTCCCTTTTCTGAATTGGACAATTAGGGGCCTGATAGCCCCTCTTGGGAAGACCTTTCATCTATAGTCCCAGCTTGACTGAGGGCTGGATTCAAGGCAGAGATGAGCCTACCTGTGTGGTCTGAGAAGGCTGCTGGAGAGCAGTGAGGCACTGAGGGAGGGGTGCCCGGAGCCTCCGTCAGAGTTCAAGAACAACCCACAGGGGAGAAATTGGCACTTGGACTGCGGGGAGGTATTTGAGTGTGGGCGAGTACAGGAAAGTTCCAGAAGAAGGGCTTGGGAGGGAGGAGCAGCCAGACGGCAGGTGGTTCAGCCCCAGCTTAGCCCCCTGGGCCTTAGGCTGGGATCAGGGTGAGAGATGAGGCTCAGAAGGAGGGGCAGCAGCTCTCAGCCCCTGATGCCAATTGCTGCTGGGTTCTCGGGCCTCACCTGGGTCAAGGGGGTGCCTTGCCTGATACACGGGGTAGGACCAGTCCTGCATGTGGCATTGATAGACCTACTAAGGTTGAGGTAGGAATGCTGTCGTGCCTGGTTAATAAAACACGTGCTGTTGCCTCCCTCCCCAGGACAGCCCCTCAGGTGAAGGAGTCTTGCCGGTGGTGTTGAGCCCGCAGTCTTCCACCTTCCACCCCCTGCTCGCCATTGGTGTGCCCGTCTATGTCCTCCAGGTCTGATGCTTTACACGTCTTTGGGTTTGTTAGTAAGATTATCACCAAGCTTCCAGCTTCAGAGGCTGGGCACTGAGGTAGGCCTCGGGTGGAGATCCATTGGGTTGGTTGCCTGGATATTTGCCGCTTTCTAGAAAAGGTGGGTAAATGGCCAGAAAATAAAAGGATAAGACTAAAGCTCAAATTTGTTGTCATTGTAGCTCCTACTTGTAAATAAGGTGAACATACTCTTTAAAATATTTTATATAGAGAAATTCTAGTCACTTCCTTCAATGGGAAGTTAGTTTTAACCTGTGGAAAAATAGACCCAGACAAATTAGTTTTCTTAAGTGGAGAAGCTGGGCATAGGTGGCTGTGGATAATTCAGATTTGGATATAAAATAATGAAAGTATTTAGCTTATTAAATTTCTAACAGGCTTAAATATATACTTAAAAATCCATACAAATAGAAATTGGGCTATCAATAACTGCCACATGTCCAAAATGGAAACCATCCCACACGCCACGATATTTTGAATTTAATTAAAAATATAAATTTGCAATGAATATTATAAAAATAAATATATTACTCACAGTTCCGGTGTTCTTGAATATTTTCAGTTGAAAATTTTCACGAAAAATGAGTTTTTAAAGTGTCTAGAGACGCTTATGGTGTACAAAGGGTTAAACATTTTCCTTAATGTCAAAAATGAATTTTGACTAAAGCACTGATATGAGATGGGAGCTCCCAGACTGCTGCAGTGGGGACATCCAGAAAGCCCCTTTAGTGTCTACTACATGCTGCCTGGTGTTCCCATTCACAAGATCACTCCTAAAGAAATCGGGTAGGGTACAAATAGCCAAACGCTGGTCATCATGGCCTTGAATCTAATGAGGTAGAAACATTTCTCTAAAAGGAAGAGGTGGAGTAGTTTTTAACAGAAAAGTCAGAAGCACCTGGCTGGCTGGCCCTGCAGGTTATGCTGCTAGTTGGTGAGCGGCTGTGAGGCTGTGAGTGGTCCTGTATTGCCTCAGCGCCCCCCCCCCAACCCCCCCGCCCCCTTTCTGACCTCCTCATTACTCTACTTGGTTTTGCAGGAGGTGCATCCTGCTGCCGGAGGGGCTTCTGGGCCTGAGGACACACACAGCAAAGGCAGCACTGTCAACCTACAGGACCTGCAGTGAAAGCTGCCCTCTACTGGGGGACCCAAGGGCGACGCCTCCCATCTGTGTCCCCGAGAGACTCTGTTACGTGGTCTTGCAGGCCTGGCTGAGAGCCCACTTGGTTTCTGCTCAGAAGGCCAGCCTAGTTCTTCAGAGACTTTTGGGTACACTCATTGAACATGTTTTTTCTTACATTCTATCAGGAACCAGTTAGGGGCCGTTCTGTTTAAAACTGCCTTGTCTAAGCAAAGTGCTTCAGTGAGGCAAAGATTGCCTTCCTAGCAAAGCACACCCCTCTTCTGTACTTGTGCCTGTGTGCGCACATCCCTTGTCCCATTCATCTGAGCCATGGAGCACCAGTTGCATTTACAAAAACAGACTTGTGCAGGAAATAGAGAACAGGTCCCCTAGTCAAATACAACTTTATCTGTAGTAAACCCAGAAGGGGTCTTTCAGCTTTGGGGTCTCAGCATTTGCCCTGAGAGAGATCTAAATGCCCTGCTTTCCCTTTCTGAGAGCTATGTGACAGGCTGTTTCCCACCCCTTTGAATGGTGCTTGTAGCGGGTTGACTTTTGTCACACTGTGGGGCAGAAGTGGGCTTGTTGTCACAGGAAGCCGAATTCTCATCCATGTTCTGGCAGACCAGGCAGGCTGCTGGTGTGAGAGGAAATTATTGAGGTGAAGTGGACACATCGGGGGCCTTGTTTGTGAGCCCTCTGTGTAGACCAAATTTTGAGCTCACAGTTTGGAGATGGTAGAATTAAAACATTCAAAATAATTTTTTTTAATTCTGTATTTGGGTACTAATGTTTAATAATAATTTGACGATGGTTTATAAAGTCATGTTCAGAATACTATAAATTATGTGCAGGATTGTAATGATGGCATGTATATGTTTTTGTTGAGGTTGAAGATGTGCATATCATGTCACCACGTATTTTGCAGTGTTAATTCTGTCTTGCAAAATGAGACGAGTTGATAACCTTGCACATATTTGTTAATTGGTTAGTGGACTGGACACGATCACTCAGAAATGCTGTGTTTGCCTTATGCCTTTTGAAGTGTGTGTTTATTAAGATGCTACTTTGGTTCTCAGACTTGGAATCATCCAAACTCTGCCCATCCTGTGTTTCTTTGTTTCTTGAGTGTTTGGACTTGGGCTCTTGGGAGTGACCTAGCATTCAATTGTAATTCCTCTCTGTCCTATTATGAGGTGCCGTCCCCTCCTGCTCAGTGCTTCTCTAGCTGAAGGAATTTAGGCCCCATTTATAAATGGTTCGTACAGAACTCTGTGCTGCTTCACAAACAATTTCTGTGCTCATGTGGCACCTCAGCCTCCAGGTCCTCCAGAAATCCCCTCCCTCTCCAAGGAGCCAGGCCTGTCGGCCAGGGTGGCCATACCTCACTGACCTCCTGAAGGAGGACGTATTGCTGGACCTTTCTCCGGCACGTCCCCCAGTGAATGTCCACTACAAAGTGATTGGTACTGACTGTCAGTTTTCTGGGCACTGAGGTCCCCTGTTGGCAGTGGACCCAACCCTAGTGCAAATGAATAAAAGTTTTTGTATAGTTACATACTGAAGGCTTCGCTTGACTTACTTTAAGGAATTGTGTATATAGTGTTGACATCACTTTCTCCTTCAGTCAGGAATAATAACCCTCCCATCTGCCCAGCTTGCTGCTTTCCTTCCTTGTCTTTGTGTTGGGGCTGGCCCCACACTGCACCCCAGCGTGGACTTGGCTTGTCTCTTAAAGCAGTTGTTTTAGATGGGAGCCGAGATGGCCTCCTTCCCTCAAGCATTTCTTAGGGTTAATGATTAAGAGGAGTGCTGGCATTTGGAGATAGGATCTACCTCCTTAAACAGCCCTTAGACACCAAAGAGTCATGGGGTTTATTTCACGAGTAAAGAAACATACAGCAGGAGACCATGAGCGCACAGCGAGGGCTGCATCTGCCCTGACACAGCCCTGTTCGCTTCCCGCTGCCGTCTTCCCTGTGCCGTCAGCCATGGCAGCGCCGGGAAGGCTAGGTGAAGAAGAACAGGTGCTCCTCCTTCTCCTTGTCCAGCAGCTCCTGCTCAGGCTCCTCCTTGGTTTTCAGGGCCGGGGGCTCGGAGCGGGACACCAGCTTTCTGCCTCTCTGTAGAGGAAGCGGACTCAGTAACCCTCTGCCTGTGGCCTCAGTGCACCAGAGGTGCTACCTAGACATTGAGGGGTCACACCCCTGTCAGGAGGCTGGGGAGCCCTGTGGACCGTCCCAGTCTCTGGTCGCTCCTGGTCAGCCATAGGCTGAGGGCTGGAGTTGCTGAGCCAACTCAGAAGTGTGTCTGTCCAGCACTAAAGCCTGTGCCCTGGGGCAGCCCCTAGAGGTGTGGGGCCGTGTGCGGGAAATACCGCTAAACAGGGAACCCGTCTCCTGCTGTGGGATTTCAGGGAGACCCTGCAGTGTCCATCATTCCCCACGGCACAGAGGGGAGAGAGTGCTGGTCTACTGCAGGGAAAGCCCATCGGCCCCTTCTGTCTGTCATGGCCGTGATCAGCCTTGGGCCTGCATTAGAGACCATGCTGCTCCTGCCCATTCCCTGTGGGAAGGATTGGGGCACAGCAATCAAGGGGACTCTGGTGACAGGTGATGAGCTTGTTGAGGCAGGTTGTGTGGTGGGACTCTGGGCAGCTGAGCTCTTTTGCTAGCTCTCAGCAGGGCTAGGAGGGCGTGACCAGGTCAGTCACTGACCAGGAATGTGTGCAGGGGAGCGGGCAGCCCTAGGGGAGCGCTTCTGGAGGAAGGCGAGGGTAGCTCCGAGGGGCAGTAGGCCCAGGAATGGGAGACCTGCTCTATCCTAGCCTTGCTCTTAGGGGCCCAGGACCCCTCCAGTAACATCTGCAAAGGATTCGGTGAACCAGACTCAGCTGCAGACCGTTTGCTTTCCCAGCCACACTGCTTGGACGTGGACCCTTCCCCAGCAGTAGCTCCCCAGGCCCACCCTGCCCACCTTCTTCTTGATCTCAGCCTGGGCCCGGGCTTGGGCCCGTTGGAGACGCTCCTCTTGCAGCTGCTTCTGTATCCTGGCTTTCTCTTCCCGGAGTCTAGGTGGCAGGGGCAACAAGAGATGCACTACAGACTGGAGAGGCCAGGGGAGGCTGCCAAATCCCCTTCCCAGCTCCTTCCCACACAGTTCTTAGGCCATGGCCCGCCCTCTTCTGAGAAAACTCCCACTCCTCTCCTCCCTTTCCTTCCAGGCCAGGGCCTTGGTTCTGCCCTGCTCCTTGGGGAGCAGCCAGCTCTGGGCTCCTGGGAGATAATGTAAAGGTCATCTCAGCCCCAGGAAGCCCGTGTTCTCAGACCCTTATCCCCAGTCAGTGCCCATGCTTCCCTATCGTCACCCTTGAAAGCCCAGACCTCAGATTAGTAGTGTTGTCTCCTTCCTGTTTGTACTTGGGGTCCTCAAACCACTGCCCCGGGTCTGCCCTGAGCAAGGTACCAAGGACACAAAGAGCTCATGGGAGAGGCAGATGGCCTTTTGCTGATTACTGTGTTTCGGGGCTCGGCACAGGAGTGAGTAAACCAGGCAGCCCACAGGCCAGAGGAGTCATGGTCCCTGGAACTATCCAACACCCCACCGGCCTTTTGGGAGTTCCGGGCCTCCTCTTGGAGGATGGGCCCACGTCCCCTGTGCCAGTCCCCTGTGTCGGAGTCTCCGCCCCTCCCTCTCTGGGCTCTGTAACGCCAGCCTGTTTCCCTCCCATCCAGCCAGGAAAATGGCCCCTGTTTTTTGAGGCCAGGCTGTGCTAGCCGCACCTCACTTTGGCTCCCTGACTCCACAACATCCTTCTCTCCACAAGCAGGGCTTCCCTTAGCGAGGCTGAGTGTGGGTTCCCTCTGGTTCCCCCAGAGCCCTGGCCGTGGCTCTCCCAGCTTGGAGAACCAGGGTCCTTGCCCCTGGTTTGGGAATTCTTGGAGGGCAAGACAGCAGGGGGTGGAGGGCAGCCTGGGCCTCACCTCTGGCGCCGCTCCTTCTCCTTGGCCTTCTCGGCCTGCTCGATCTTGATCTGGGGCACACGCTCCAGGTTCTCAAGCAGCTCGTCCAGCTGGTGTTCGATGACGGTCAGCATCTGCACGGTGCCCAGGCTGGACTCCTGCTGGGGACCCACACATTGCCGGTACACGTCCTGCACCTTGCGGTTGAGGCTCTCCAGCAGCTTGTCCTGTGAGGCGGGCAGTCCACCAGTGGGGTTGCTCGGACCTGTGTCTCCTCCCTCTCATGATCTGCCCTCACTGCAGCGTGGCGAACCTCCCAGGGCCCTGCTCTGCCCAGGTGAGCACTTAGGAAGCCTGGGAAAACAGAACTGGACACCTGGACTTTCCTTGGCCAGAGCTGTGACACCCTCTCCCCCATTTGCTCTTTTGTGGTCAGCCAGATCTTGGGTTCCACTCGCCACTAGGGTTCATGCCTGTGCCTCGGCCCCTCCCCCAGCTGCCTCAGTGTGTCCACCAAGTTCCAGTTCCTTCCTCCTGGGAGCCCTCCCTGTGCTGCCCCTGCACTGACCTCAGCGCCCACAGGACCACATCCTGTGACCTACTTTCTCTGTGGCCCTGGCCTGATGAACTCCCCTCTCTGAGTCTGTCTAACATTCAGAAAACAGTTAACCCCTCAGACACATGAGTGAGCCTGTGGACTAAATGAGGAACAGCAAGCAAAAAGGCTTAAGCCAAGCACAGGGCACAGCTGGTGTCCAGTGATGACCAGCAAGAGGCAGGGACACACGGGCCTGCTCATTGTGGCATCCCATGTACTTAGCGCAGTGCCTGGCACACAGTGGGTGCTCAATAGGAATTTGGATGAATTAGGAAGCTGGGGCTGCCATCAAGAAGAGTGTGTGCCAAGCCCTGGTCCCACTGCCTAGAACATCTCTGGCCCTCAGAATTCTCTCTCACTCTGGCCTGGGGATGTGCCTCTCTGGGGATATTATACATGTTTAAGAAGCCAGAGGTATTTGTCCAAAAAAGGAAGGAATGGAGGAGGTGTGTTGGGCAGATGAACAGCCATGGAGCAGAAACACACAGGGTGCCTTGGATTTGGGGACCAAGGGCCTTCTTCAGCTGGTGCCCCTTGGTCAGGTCCACAGAGCCTGGAGATGGTGAGGGGCCTGCAGCCCCAGAGCACGGCTGAATCTCAGGCCTTACTTTCCCACTGTCAGAGCTCCAGGCACTCTACCTCCTCCCAGCAGGTGCCTGGAAGAGGACCTCCCTCTCCCCCGCTGCCAGCCTGTGGCCACCTGCACTCCTTCCATACCCACCGCCTGCTGGCTGCCGCCCGGGGGGGCCTACCTCCTGTGCGCCCTTGTACTCGCCGAAATGGAAGACTCGGGCTTTGAGCTCCAGCTCAGCAGCTGTCTCCTCCTCCTTGGTGATGGACATCATCAGTGTGGTGATCCACTGCTTCAGCTGGTTGACCTCCCTATCCCTGGATGGGGGATCAGTAGGGCCCTGCTCACCAGTGTGGCCCTGGGCACTTCACCTCTGAACCTGACCCCTCCTGCCGCTGTCCTGAGGGCTAAGGCAGTGGTCGGCAAACTGTGGCTCGCGAGCCACAGTTTGCTGACCACTGGGCTAAGGGACTGTGACTGCAAAGTATCTACATGCCCAGGGGTTATGGAACCTGGGAGGCTGCCTGCCTCTCCCAGTTCGTGTCTATGTGTGTCTCTGCTACCTTCCTGCTTTCTAGGAAACAATATTGCCTGAGAGCTAGTAGTTTCACATAAGTCTGGAGACTCCCAGCAGGAGATTCTCCATGGCAGGGCATGGGTCAACGAGACATGGATGTTCAGGAACACGGTTTCCCCGGGGGACATTGAAGCCTTGGGCTGGCTCCCACCTCGGCCTTTGCACTTGCTTTCCCTCTGCCTGGCACCCTCTTCCCAGATCACGTGTGGCTTCCCATCACTCGGGAAGTACCTGGCTCAAAGGACATATTCCCCAGGGAGCCTCCCTGCCCTTGTCAATCTGTGCCACCCTCTTCTGTAGCCTCTTCTCCTATCATTCTCACACTTTCCCTCCTAGCATGTGTCAGTGTCTACAAGTCAAATCTGTGGGCCCCATGGAATGTCAGCTCAATGAGGAAGGGCCTTTATCCTGGAGGACCTAGATCCAGGCCTGACCCAGAATAGGTCCTCAGTCTATGTTTAGGAGTGAATTCCTTGTTCCCAACAGACCTCACCTAGTGCCCTAACTGATCTTGCCCAGCCCAGCTCTCCTGGACCTGGCTTCAGCAGAATGCACCTGGGGTGAGAGGTCCTTAAGATGCCCCCCTCTGGCTGCAGACTGCTCCAGGGCAGGCATGGACCAGTCCACCGATATGATCAACTCCCAGGCCACTCCTGGGTCCCCATGACCCTCAACTTCCCTACCCAACAGGACACATCTTCTCACCAGAGCCAGGCTCCAACGTCAAATGGAGCTTTCCAGAAAACAGAAGTCAGGGCTAGAACAGGGAGGGGCAGGGCCCACGGTCCAGCTGCCAGTGGCTGTGGAGGTCCCAAGATGACAACTAATGATAGAGTCCACCTCCTCACTGGCTAGGGTGGCCCCACTCAAGACTTACATGCGGATCTGGGTATTTTTCAGGGTGAAGCTCAGCTCCTCCAGGGCCTCCTCCATCTCCTGTGTGTTCTGGATCAGCGAGAGGTTCTGCTCCTCCAGGTTTGTAAAGACTTCCAGGAGCTGGTGGGGCTCCTTGAAGTACAGCTCCAGCCCCTGCAACCAGAGCTGTGTGTGTGTAGGGGGGAGGCGGGGGGGGGGGGGCCTCCAGGAGCTGGGGACTCCATGAAGTACAGCTCCAGACCTTGGAACCAGAGCTGTGTATGTGTGTGTGTGTGTTGGGGTTGGGGTGGGGGGGCGAGGGGCCCCCAGCAGTGCAGTGGCAAGGGGACCTGGCTCCCGCAGACCCTGCCAAGAGTGGGGCCACTGACCTCCCCGTCACTGTCTGGGTCCTCTTCCTTGGGTAAGGTAGAAGAGCTGGACCTGCGGAGAGATGTGGGTTTAGGGTGCCAGGGCCCAGCCTGGGCCATTGTGCCCCATCTCAGTGG